CGGCGGGGGTGCGATCCGACCTCGTGAGGCAGCGCAAGAGCGATGAATACCCCCGTTACACCGGCGACTCACTCATTTGCAGCACTCTCGACATGACACTAGGTTGCGTCCCCTCAACCAATCTGGCGAAGGTCGTCCCGGCAATAAATACCCCCAGCAGGTGGGAGTCGATATGCGCCCTCAACCCCTCAGTCCCAGCCGATGTCGCCAGACGCTCTGCCCGCAACGCACCCCTCCACTGGCCACAAAAAGCGACCCCTCTCTGCGTCCGCCCCAGACCCCTGCATGTGTACGTCACCTACGTCGTTGTCATCAAGCCGGCGTCGTACTGTGCCCCCCCTGATCCCATCCATTCGGGATCGGCGTTGACAATCAGCTGCATCTTCGATGAACACTGGACATCACACCATTGAACACTACTTGGCTCGCCCTCACCGATAGCAGGCGTGTGCCCGGAGCGCTGCGAAGGAGGCCAATGCTTAGGCTTTCCAGCGCTGGTTCAGGGCTTGTCGAGCGGCTGCGGCGCACCACGGCGCCCGCTGGCGGGCCCTCACCGGCGCGAGCAGTCGCAAGAACGTCAAAGTGCCGCGGCTGACCCGCTCGCCAACTTCCACGCCGAAGACGACCAGGTGGCAGCGCCGAGCTTGCCGCAGTTCCGGGTAAGCCCGGTGTTTACGGTCGACTCCGTGGTCCAGGGCGAGGCATGGCGAGGCCCGGTTTATGGTCAGCCCGTGGCCGGGGCTGGCCGTCCCGGCGGACTCGGCTCACGATTGTGGCATCCACCGCGCTTTGAGGCCCTTGCCAAATGGGGAGGCCATTGGCGACGCTGGTCCGTCCAGGTTGCAGTCGCGAAGGCCGACGTGCGATGCCACTCGGGCGCCCACCTCCTTGCAAATGCGTGCTGCTGCTCGCTCAGCTAAGGGGCCAGCATGGGCCAACTCTGCGGGCCAGCACGCCCACTTGCGCGCAGGCCGAGCGATGGTCGCCGTACACATCCAAGCGTCCTCCGCAGGGACAACGCTTCGGGGCGAGGGCGAGCGGGAGGGGCAGACGGAGTCTGCCAAGCATGACTCGGTACTCTGCGTCCGGCACCGGGTGTCGACCCTCGTTGGGAGGGCCGCGTAGGCGCAGCTCGCTGCATCGCCAGCCTGTGACAGCAGCAGCGCGCGCCCGAGACCTTTGGGTCGATGTCGTCGAAGAGCGTCTCGAACGCACGCTGTCGGGTGCTTTCGATGCCGCGAGTTGCCAGCCCAGTCTTCCACCTGGAGCAGGTCGCGCTGTGCGTGCTGCTGGTGCCGCTGCATCTTCTTCCAGCAGCCCATGTTGGCACAAGAGGCGGGCAACTTGTTCCGCTGCTCGCGTGTTGGGGGGTGTGCCGGCCGCCGTTGCGTGCAGCAGCGGGCGGAGGAGGGCGGCGAGTACACCCGGTTAGTGTTCGCGCAGTGCGCGGACAGTGCCCGCCCACGAACTCCAGTCGGCAGCGTGGCGCAGTCGCTCGGTAGAGCTTAGGGTTTAGGGTTTAGGGCTTGGGGTTCAGCAGTTAGGAAGTATAGGGTTTAGGAGGTTTGGGGTTTGGGAGGTTTCGGGGTTAGGGTTTAGGGTTTTAGGCTTAGGGCATTCGGGGGTTCAGGCTTAAGACGTCGGGCACCATGTCAAAAACCCACGCCTCCCATGTTCAGTGGGAGTTGGGCGCGGTGGTAGCTGGGGTCTGGCAGTGGCACGTCGCCATCACCGCCAGCAGCGTTGCCAGGCAGAGAAGGAGTCACGCGGACTGCTGTTCGGGCACCCGCGGGATCCGCAGCAACAGGCGGTCCTGTCCCCTTTGTTGCACCTTGTGCGCTAGGCCTTCCGCGTTGTAAACGACGCACCGCTCGGCGAGCCGTAAAAAAGTGCAGCGTATACGGGAGGAGACTGGCCAGCGTAGGTCGGTCCGCCAAGGCTCACAGCATGCTGTCGAGATGCTGAGGGCGTACTGGAATGGCGCGAAGGCGCTGGAACTCTTCGTGGAGCCTGCGCGAGCGTGCGCCCCACGAGGCGCCTGAACGCATCCCCCATAACCAGGGCTCTGACGCCGCCTGAGGGTTTTCTAAATGCAACCATGCGGCCGAGCCAAACTGCCGGGATGATCGCCTCCGGTACCTCTGCACGGGCCAGGTTGCTCGCCGCCGGAATCAGTAGGTGCATGCATTCTTCGTCCAGCAACGCGCGCAGGTGCTCGCTTGTGCAGCCAGACGGGCCATACGTGCCAGGGCGGCCCCCTTGCATGTGCGGCGAGCGTTGGCGATGAGGCTTGAGGGGCACAGCTCCAGGGGGCCGGATGACCGGGATATAAGGCTCGGGTGGGCGACGTGCCGGGTTTCGCAAGGCGTTCAGCGTGTCGCGGGTCGTCGGGGCCAGCAGCAACGCTGTGAGCGTTTTGGCTGGCGTCTTCGGAGACCGGCACATCGATGTTCATGTCAGCCAGGCAAACATAGGCAAACGTTTGCGGGCGAGCCGTGCCCCGGCTTCTTGGTACATCCTTGCCACCGCCCGCTCCAGAGAAGGCTCGAGATGCGGGCACACGTGAAGTCGCACAGGCAACCCTGTGGTCGCAGAAAGGGTCAAAGCGGCTGCGGCTGGGGCACGTGCGCGGTGCGACTGGCAGTAGCAAGCGAAACCATCGTAGCAGGACGCGGACGAGTGAGTGGTGATGGCACCGTCACCTCAGCTCAGGTTAGGAATGGTTAGGAAGACCGCGAAAGCGCGGGCAGTGTGTAACCCGGCCTGCGACAGCAGCAATGCTCGACATGCGGCATTGATGTGATGGACATGCAAATCAAGCGCTCGCTTGTCGGCGACTCTAGCACGATGCTGCCAGCCCCGCAAAAAAGTCCCCAAACTCATGTTCTTCGTGCTCGGGCCGTGCCCGCAACAGTGCATCGGTGCGCTCTGGAGCTGGGACGACATAGCCGTCGTCCAACAACACGAAGGTGGCCTCACCCTCAAGGAGCCCAGCCACTGCTTCGCTCAAACCGGCATGCTGCACGAGGGAAACGAGCACTGGCATTAGCGGGTCCCCTTGCTCACCTTGGTCACTCCTCCGACGCCTTGCGTTACCTCATGTTCCGTGCCGGTCTCGTCGACCCAGGCGTAGACGCCGGGGCGATGGCTCCTCCACAGGCAGGGCGGCAGGAGGGTTTGGTTGCGGTAACCAACGAGCAGATTCGAGCAGGGCGTGTGAAGGGACAGCGCGAACACACCCAACATTTCATTTGGGATGCCACGTCAACTTCGCATGTCAAAAAGTGCGGCTGTGGTACATCTTGCAATTGGGAGAATTCGTGTTTTGTTCTTTATGGTCGCACCTGCACACGCATTTTTCCCATCAGCTTGAAACTTCTGGAACGTTCCGCAGTCTGTTCGGGTTGGCGGCAGGAATGTGCCTCTGCATTTCACATCATGGTTGTGACGAAGATGTGTTCGAAACGCATAATTTGTTCGACTCGCCACCTGGATGCGAAGAGTGCTGCGCGATCACAAAGTCTACCCAACCACACATATAAAAAGGCAGGGGGCGAGGCACGGCATTATCGCGGATCAGTAAGTCGCTTTTTTCAAGGAAACGCACCTGGATGTTCACAAATGGGTCGCCCTGTTGGCACGTCACTCGTGAATCCTGCGGACTTGCCAAAAAAAAATCATCACGATGGGACGTCCGTGTACAAGAATTTGAGCAAGGTACTGCAACGCTTTCAGAATGACATGACACATCGGCATGTCGCGGCAGGGACACTCACCGTTCAAACACAAACAGATGTTGTTGACTCCTGTGAAGCAACAGGCCATGCTCTGTCACAAGCCAAATTATGATCTTCAAAGCACACAGGCACAAAATCCGTAATTCAAGCCGACATGATGCTTTTCAACAACAACGTCATATGATTTCGCGCAGGTTCATTGAGGCCGCAACGAGAAGCGCAAGCACCTCTGCTGCATAGTTACAAAAAAACCTGCAGAACAAGCTGTGGGCTCAAATAGCTTTTTCATCCATCAAGCATAATCAGGCCACAACCAGAGCTTCTTTCGCGTCGCCGTGCCCCACAATGCGATCATCCAAGCCTTGCCGGTGCTGACTGTCGCGTTACTTTCAACAACAGCAAATCCGGGCCACCGAACGTCCCCGCAGGCTTTGCACTTCAGCCGCGGCGACGGCGACCTGCCGCCACATACCACCATGGGGTATCCCGAATTTAGCCAAATTCGAACTCCATACTGGAAGGACCCATGCGACGTCGCGATGCAAAACGATGTTTTGTGTGTTACAATACCGAACTTCGTACCATGCACGTGTTGCCTGATCACAATGCCAGGCCTGCTCTGGCACAGCGCAAGAATGAGAACACCGTCGGGTTGCTTCCTGTTGTCCAACCACAATGATGCGAACAAAAGCACATGTGGCTATCCATGATTAGGTGACGTCTTCCCCCAAAATCCGATCTCCTTCAAGTGAAGTTAATCCTGAACTCGCAGAATCATGCTCCAAACTCCAAGCCCTAAACCCTGCCGGTTGTACAAGCTTCCGCTCCTGGGCAACAACTCCGAACCTGCGTCGTGCAAAACTCGCGCACATGGCCATGGCCGGTCAAAACATGTTGCATTAAACACATGCTCCAGTGTTGCAGCTGACTGCCCACGTCTGCAATCTGCAATTTTGACGCTTGAAGGTTGATGAACTGGAGGCTTCCATTGCCTGCCGCAGTGGAAAGAAACAACAAGAACAAGCTCCAGCGCAGCTTTACAAACAACCGACGTGAAAGCTGTGTGCCATCAGCATGCCGCCACATTTCCAGTCGGGAGAATGTTGGCAACTTGAAATTTGTCTTCGAAAGCGCACGATTTCTGAACAAGCGGAATTGGAACGATGAACTGGGTGGCAAGCAATTGACCAACTTCTACCAACAGAAGAAACAAACAGTATGCGTAATGAATACCAATGTCGTATGGGGATCCACAACATTCAATGAACCTGTGCCATTCCGTGCAACTTGATGGAAACTTGCTGTCTCTCTCTTTCTCAGTCGCGCAGAGCGAGTCCACAAGTGAGACCACTCGTCAGCAGCCCTTGAAATATGACTAACGTGCGGGGAAAACATAAAAGTCGGCGGAAGCATACGGCATACGGCCCAGGAAACAGTCCAGGGATACTACATACACGATGAGCATGTCTATACAGGGCTCTTCGTTACCTTTTTCGGGTGAGACGATGGCAGGACTAGGGTAAATTTTCCGGCCACCGTGGGGAAAAACTTAGTATGAAAGGATACCTCTATATTCACTGACGAAGCTCACCCGACGCACAAGGGGCATTCGTGACCACTCGCCGATAAAAGATGGAGCACCTGATAGTCAATCGATATTTGCATAGAGCATGGGAAGGCCGTGGTCCCCGGTTCGCCTCATGTCGGCTCCCCTAGACAGCATTGTGGAATAAATCTCAGGGCTGTATGATAAGGTGGAGTTGTCGTCATCCAGCGTGGGGAAGCATAGAACAAATCATCTTGCTAGTAATCCAGGAATGCGCCTCTCTGCAAAGTGCGGGCGGGCGCACCTGCAGTCCCGACAGTCGGTTGGGGTGTTCCAGAGGTTTCCGGCTGCAGCGTATTGGGAGCCACCTTCCCCCAGAGTTGGCTAAACACGTAAGCACAGGAAGTGTGGTCAGGTGGATTAACCATAGGGAGCCGCGCATCTCCCGCATCGGTGCCGCAATAAAGCTTAGGATGACATATAGACCAACGTAGAACCTCCAGCATATAAGTGTGGGAAACTGGCGTCCAAATCGAGGATATAAGGTCAGGTAGGAGAAAAACTAGGGAGAGCCCATCCTCCACTGCTGGTCAGATCGTAGTGGTGGAACTGAATTTATCGACCTGATTTTGACTGTCTGGTCCAGATGCTCGTAATCAGTTGGCATGAAATACAATGTCAAGAAATCCAATGGCATTCCAGCAGCCAGAAGGCTAGGTGGCAATCGGCATGAAGATGTCATAATGGCAATCCTTGCAGTCTTACTGGCAATCGGAATGAAGACGTCATAATGGCAATCCTTGCAGTCTTATTGGCAATCGGAATGAAGACGTCATAATGGCAATCCTT